CATAAATATAGTATTCATACTAGTAGTCTTCATAAGTATTATAAAACATTACATATACATTTTTAAAAATATAACTCAATAAAAACACATAAACTCCTTTTTTTACAGACAGTCCAGTTCCATTAATAACAGAAGTTTGGAAAAAAATAATAACTGCAAAACTATTAATGCCACAAGATTAGATAGCTTGCTACCTAAAACTGCCTGAAGAGGAAACAGGTTTTGGGGCCAATAGTAACCCACTTCCCCCTTCTGATTGGTGGGAAAGAAGCATTGATCTTCAGTCACACATTTGTATCCAGGAGGCTCCCGGGATATTAAGGGGCTCTTATTTACATTCAGAACTTGCTTAAAGTGCAAAGGTAATGCTATCTTGTCTTGGTGAAGGTTGTAGGTCCACCTAGTTAGCCAAGACGGCCTTGCCATGGCTACATATTCCAAGGAGATTTCAAGGCTTATCCAGGCCAGCTTGGTATGTGATCCCACCAGCATTTTCTAGATCATTTCTTCTTCTCAGAACTTTCTTCTCTAATTGAATATGGATTGTCCAAACCATCCTACTTAAATATTATATTGCCAACCAGCGCAGTCTATGTTATCAATGTTTCTGCTCATAGTGCAAAGGTAATGTCATCATGTCTTAGTGGGGATTGTAGGTCCATCTGGCCAATGGACTTTCCTTGGGGGTTCAAGACTTTCCTTGGGGGTTCAAGGTTTACCCAGGGCAACTAGACACTGTTGCCCCAAGAGAATGTTTCTGATCTAGCTAAGACTTTCTTCTTCTTCAGTGAGGGTATCTGTTTCATTTGTCCAAACCATCCTAATCAACTATTAAGTTTCCAGTCATATGATAGAGTAGTCGACTTTACCAAAGTATCTGAAATAAGAATTCTTTGTATTGGCCTGCAGCCAGGGCCGGTGCTTCCACTATGGCCTTGACCACTAACCCCCTCACAGTGCACCCCCCCCCACGCCTATTTCAAATTGCAAAAGACAAAATCAGGCTGGCTATTGCACGCTCCCACTAAGCAGAAGAGCGGAACTTAGAGACACCTTTCTATCTCAGGTCACCTCCTCTGCTCAGTGTATGGGGTTTCTGGGTTTTCAATAGCCAGTCTGCTATGGTGTATTTCAAATTATAATAGCCAATAGCAGTCTGGCTATTGCTCCCGGCTGCTTACATCCACCTGTCGCCTGTGGAAGCTAGCCGGCAGGAGAATGGGGCCGCGCCGGGGGGGGATTGGGGGTTACACCACGGGAGGGGGGCTGGGGGGTGTAAGTATCTGGTCATACCTAGGGCACAAAATAATCTAGCACCGGCCCTGCCTACAGCAATCAATTAGGTTCTCCTTCTGATCGCCAACTGTTAGGCCTCGTTCACACGGGCTGGTCAGGAGGGGATCGGTGCACAGATCCCTTCCTGATACGCATTGGATGTCACCCCTGTGGCATCCGAGTCTGTCCAGTTTGTTCCTTCATCTTGCAATGGAGGAAAAAACTGAAATTACCGGACCCCATTTTGGTCTATGGGGAATCTGATGTAAACGGACATGTGTCTATTTACATCAGATTACCCCCAATCCGGCACTATTGGGTTCCTCAAAACAGAACTCTGTTCTGTCTGTTTTTCTAGATCTGGCCAGAGTCAGGGGTAACCGGGTGTAAATGGACACATGTCCGTTTACACACAGTTGCCCATAGACTAGCATTGGGCGTCTGATTGGGTCCACCTGAAAATCAGACAGGTGGACCCCATCGGATTGCCTGTGTGAAAGGGGCTTTATTTCACAAGGTTGGTTTGAATAGAATTTGTTGCTGCAGGGTTTCATCTAGACATGTAAGCTGCCATGATTGTCATCCAGGTTGGACTTCAACATATCTTCCTCTTTCCATCTCCATTACATAGGAAATGGGGAGATTAGTGGTTTTACAGAAGTCCAGTGATTCAGGAAAATACTGCATTTTGGCCACTAGATGGAGCTGAGATTTATTGGAAAAACAAGTATTTATTTCCTATGATTCTTGAATCCATTTATTGGCCATAAAGCCTTATCCTGATTTACTCTAAGCTAATGAATGACTTACATTTGAACAGGAAAGAAAATAATCATTATAAAATAAAAATAACATAGTTACATAGTATTTAAGGTTGAATAAAGACATATGTCCATCAAGTCCAACCTATTGTGTGTGTGTGTGTGTGTGTGTGTGTATGGGTCCCTGTGTCATCTCGTTATTAGGAGTACCTATACCCCTGTATATTACCGTTTCTCAGGAAATCGTCCAAATGCTTCTTGAACGAATCCACACTATTAGCTGAAATCACTGCCTGTGGCAACAAGTTCCAGACCCTAACCGCGCGAACTGAGAAGAACCCCCTTCGCCCCTTGTGTTTGAATTTTTTTTCTACCAGTTTCAGGTGGTGTCCTCTAGTCTTTGTTACGGAATTAATCTTTATCAGTCAAGCTTTAACAAAAGATTCTAAATCCATTGCTCAATCATTGCAGCTCAAGATCCCTTAGTTTCTTGATTCTTAGGTACATGCAATACTATTACACATTCATGGAAAGCATAACCCAGACCAGGTTTTAGACATGTAAGAAAAAACCATCCTCTGCACTGCAACTCAACCTGGGCCACATTTTTATTCTTTGTAGGGCTCCAGAGCCAAGCACCTTGATAATGTTCCTTTGTGAGATAGAAGAACAGTCTCAGGTAGAGGACCTGTCAAGATTGCTATCATTATATGGGGGTTCACCCGGAGATGGCCAGAACCTCTTGAAGGGGCAAAGTCTCCCTAATTTCCGTAAGATGGCCACCAAAAAGTCAAAAAAGGTTTTCTGGACTGCTGTAGAGGTGAAGTAGAACACAACTGGGTCCAAGGTGGCATTGAATGTACTCAGGAGCAAGGCATCCACTCTCCATTTTGGGCTCTTGCCGTTCACAAAGCCAACGATGTGGGAGATGTTGTAGGGAGCGAAGCAGATGCAAAAGTTGGCCAGAGTGGCGATGGCCAAGCCAATGGCTCTCTGTTTCCTCTTTTTTTGGATGTTGGGCAGAGACGTCAGTATCCTTATGAAGTTGATGTAGCAGAAAAGCGTTATTATGGATGGGATGAAGAAAAGAGTCACTCCTAACTCCAAACGAACCGGCAGCAAGATCTTCAGCTGCTCCTCTGTGAAGTTGTCGTAGCATTTTGTTTCATTGAAACTTTTGACTCTGCTATCTACGCAGTACTGGACGATGTAGACGACACTGCAGTGAGCACAAGCCAGAAGCCAGAAGCAGATACTGGCAAATATGGCGTACTCAGGCTTCCGATGGAGTTTATACTTGATGGGGTGAGCTACCCCAAGGTAGCGCTCGATGCTGACAGCGGTGAGGAACAAGGTGCTGATATAAATGCTGCTGTAGTAGCAGAATCCTGTCAAAGGACAGAGAAATATGGGCATATTCCAAAGCATCCCGTCAGCTGCCTCCTTCATCTTCAGTGGAAGGAACATGAGCAGGAGAAGATCTGAGATGGTCAGGTTGAGGAGAAGGATGTCTACTGGCGTTGGCTTCTTGCGGACCTTGACCAAAAAGGCGTAGAAGGCCAGCAAGTTGGATGGCAGGCCGGTCACGAACGTCAAAATATAGATTGCCAGGACGATCTGAGTATGTTCAACAAGGCTCCTGTTAAACACAAAAAAGATAATGAATTACTTGAGGTTCAACATTTGAACATTGAAGGTCAACATTTTTTATTTCAATCAACGTGGTATTAAATTCTCCAAAAAAAATTCAATAATGAATCCATATCAAAAACATATACAGTACATGTGCCCAAGCACTTACAGTCATCATGTTTCCAAACTTCCTGTCCAGGACAAGATCGTAAGGGACAGTACAGTCTCCAGCAGCCGTCCATCTACTATCTTGGAGAAGGGAGGAATGAGGGGTGTCTTGCCTTGCTGGGCCTGTGTGTAGAGACACCAGGCTTACTAACGAACACAAGAGTGTCTCCATACAACCCTGTAGCGGAAAGGAATTACCCTAAAACAGGATATCAGAGCCAGTGTTCAGGGGAGCCACCCCAGCACATGATATCAGGGCCAGTGCTCATGGAAGCCCCCCAAAAACAGGATATCAGGGCTAGTGCTCAGAGGAGCCGCCCTAAAACGGGATATCAGGGCTAGTGCTCAGGGGAGTCACCCTAAAACAGGATATCAGGGCCAGTGCTCAGAGGAGCCACCCTAAAACAGGATATCAGGGCCACTGCTCAGGCGAGCCACCCTAAAACAGGATATCAGGGCCAGTGCTCAGGCGAGCCACCCTAAAACAGTATATCAGGGCTAGTGCTCAGGGAAGCCGCCCTAAAACAGGATATCAGGGCCAGTGCTCAGGGGAACCACCCTAAAACAGGATATCAGGGCCAGTGCTCAGGGGAACCACCCTAAAACAGGATATCAGGGCCAGTGCTGAGGGGAGCCACCCCAGCACATGATATCAGGGCCAGTATTCAGAAGAGCCACAGTAAAACAGGATATACGGGGCCATTGCTCAGGAGAGCCGCCCTAAAACAGGATATCAGGGCCAGTGCTCAGGGAAGCCGCCCTAAAACAGGATATCAGGGCCAGTGCTCAGGGGAACCACCCTAAAACAGGATATCAAGGTCGGTTTTCAGGGGAGCAACCCTAAAACAGGATATCAGGGCCAGTGCTGAGGGGAGCCACCCCAGCACATGATATCAGGGCCGGTCCTTGGAGAAGCCACCCCAGCACATGATATGAGGGCCAGTGCTCAGGGGAGCCATCAGTTTCTAGGAAGAAGAAGGTAGATGGCACCGCTTTCCCTGTTACAGTTATAGTCTGCAAAATGTGTACAGCAGGGTGCTCTCTCCACCCTCGGCCTGCAGACTGAACAACAAAAAGGCAAAAGGAGACTGATAAAGCCATCCTCCTGCTCACTCTGCTCTCTTCTCCGATTAGCAATCACATGATTGGCTCTCATTTCCTGCCCCTCCCCCAATCTCAGTGCTTCTGTAGAGAGGCCTAATCATACATTTAATGATTAACGCACAGATACGGACCTGCCTTCAATTGCGTCTTTTATCTCTGCCTGGAGTTCAGCTTTAATATGAGCAATGTTCGTTATCGTTTTTAATGACTTATATAATACACCGTCTATTAATATTCATTTATCAGCGCCACCTGTCCAGGATTCAACCTAGACAGCCTGGGTTTTGAGTCCTGTATATGCTGTGTCCTGGTTGTCATGATGTCAGGTGTACAGGGGCAACCATGGGGTCCTGGTGTTCCAACTTAAGTGCATGGAGGAGGCACGGGACATGGAGCGACGCTGGAACTGGGGGAGCAAGGAGATGTCTGAAACACAGGGTGCAGATAAGTCTTGAAGGGCACAGGGGTTCTGCTTCGGTAAGATCTGGTGCTCGCTATCTGTCCTCAGTCTCTCTCCTGGCTATCTCTCCTATCTCTGCCCTGACTGTCTCTCCTCTCTCTCTGCCCTGACTATCTCTCCTCGCTTTTTCCTGGCTGTCTCTACTTTCACTCTCTCCTCTCTCTTTGCTGGCTGTTTCTTCTGGTTCTCTCACCTAGCTGTCTCTACTTTCAGTCTCTCCTGGCTGTCTCTTCTCTCTCTTTGCTGGCTGTCTCTTCTCTCTCTTTGCTGGCTGTCTCTTCTGGCTCTCTCCCCTAGCTGTCTCTACTTTCAGTCTCTCCTGGCTGTCTCTTCTCTCTCTCTTCTGGCTGTCTCTTCTGGCTCTCTCTCCTGGCTGTCTTCCCTCGCTTTCCCCTGGCTGTCTCCCCTTACTTTCTCTCCTGGCTGTCTCTTCTCTCTCTTTGCTGGCTGTCTCTTCTGGCTGTCTCTCCTGACTGTCTCTACTTTCAGTCTCTCCTGGCTGTCTCTTCTCTCTCTCTCCTGGCTGTCTCTTCTGGCTCTCTCTCCTGGCTGTCTTCTCTCGCTCTCCCCTGGCTGTCTCCCCTTACTTTCTCTCCTGGCTGTCTCTAATCTCTCTCCTGGCTGTCTCTCCTCACTCTCTCCTGGCTGTCTTCACTTGCTGTCTCTCCTAGCTGTCTCTACTCTCTCTCCTGACTGTCTCGCCTCTCTCTCCAGGCTGTCTCTCCTCTCTCTCCTCTGGCTGTCTCTCCTCGCTCTTTCTCCTGGCTATCTCTCCTCTCTCTATCTCTCCGTCCTGGCTATCTCTCCTGGCTGTCTCCCCTCTCTCTCCTGACTGTTTTCCCTTGCTCTCTCCTGACTGTCTTCCCTCGCTCTCTCCTGGCTTTCTCCCCTTGCTGTCTCTCCTGGCTGTCTCTACTCTCTCTCCCCTGGTTGTCTCTCCTCACTCTCTCTCCTGGCTGCCTCTCCTCTCTCTAGCTCTATCATCTGGCTGTCTCTCCTCTGGCTGTCTCTCCTCTCTCTAGCTCTCTCCTCTAGCTGTCTCTCCTCGCTCTCTCTCTCCTGGCCGTCTGTCTTTGCTCTCTCCTGTATATTCTCCCAAAATAATTGCGGCATGGTGTTAGAGTGTTCCGGTTTTACTTGAAAAAAAGGTGGCAACCTTATCAGTGACACACTTCGTGTCCTAGGGTGACAACGCTTACTCACAGGACTTAATCAATGGAGGAGCAAGGTAGTCACCCAATAATACTCACCAATACCCAGAACCTTGATGGTGATCACTGACATGTTTGCACCCTTTGTATTTTGTTTCTGCGGTGTTCCTGTATAAGCGCCGAGCTCTTTCTTTATACTATCTGTAGCTGGCTGGGCTCTGAGATCATTTAGGATCCTGCCAGTGCAAACATTTATTCTTATTTAAAACAACATGTATGTTTTGTGCAAACAGGCCCAGCGTTTGTGATTGTGTTGATTAAACAAGCCGTGTAAACAGTTGTTCAGTTCAGATAGAGTCACTTTAACATTTGGCGGCGCGGTGATGAAATCTCCCCATGTTGTGACGTTTTACAGGTGATGTAAATGTTGCCGGATTTTCCTGAATTTTGGGGTTACGCCGGCTCACAGGAAAGTTCTGTTTAAAAAGTATTTTGTAGCTCCAAACATTCTAAGATGTGACTTAAGGACACCTTCCAGATCAATGTATTTAGGCAATGGACACGCCCCTGCATTACCCCCAGTTATATATAGGTATTGGACACGCCCCTGCATTACCCCCAGTTATATATAGGTATTGGACACGCCCCTGCATTACCCCCAGTTATATATAGGTATTGGACACGCCCCTGCATTACCCCCAGTTATATATAGGTATTGGACACGCCCCTGCATTACCCCCAGTTATATATAGGTATTGGACACGCCCCTGCATTACCCCCAGTTATATATAGGTATTGGACACGCCCCTGCATTACCCCCAGTTATATATAGGTAATGGACACTCCCCTGCAATGCCCCCAGTTATATATAAGGCATGGACACTCCCCTGCAATGCCCCCAGTTATACATAGGTAATGGACACGGCCCTGCAATGCCCCCAGTTATATATAGGTAATAGGCACACCCCTGCCATGCCCCCAGTTATATATAGGTAATAGGCACACCCCTGCAATGCCCCCAGTTATATATAGGTAATGGGCACACCCCTGCAATGCCCCCAGTTATATATAGGTATTGGACACTCCCCTGCAATTCCCCCAGTTATACATAGGTAATGGACACGCCCCTGCAATGCCCCCAGTTATATATAGGTAATGGGCACACCCCTGCAATGCCCCCAGTTATATATTGGGCATGGACACTCCCCTGCAATGCCCCCAGTTATATATAGGGCATGGACACTCCCCTGCAATGCCCCCAGTTATACATAGGTAATGGACACGCCCCTGCAATGCCCCCAGTTATATATAGGTAATGGGCACACCCCTGCAATGCCCCCAGTTATATATAGGTAATGGGCACACCCCTGCAATGCCCCCAGTTATATATAGGTAATGGGCACACCCCTGCAATGCCCCCAGTTATATATAGGTAATGGGCACACCCCTGCAATGCCCCCAGTTATATATAGGTAATGGGCACACCCCTGCAATGCCCCCAGTTATATATAGGTAATGGGCACACCCCTGCAATGCCCCCAGTTATATATAGGTAATGGGCACACCCCTGCAATGCCCCCAGTTATATATAGGTAATGGGCACACCCCTGCAATGCCCCCAGTTATATATAGGTAATGGGCACACCCCTGCAATGCCCCCAGTTATATATAGGTAATGGGCACACCCCTGCAATGCCCCCAGTTATATATAGGTAATGGGCACACCCCTGCAATGCCCCCAGTTATATATAGGTAATGGGCACACCCCTGCAATGCCCCCAGTTATATATAGGTAATGGGCACACCCCTGCAATGCCCCCAGTTATATATAGGTAATGGGCACACCCCTGCAATGCCCCCAGTTATATATAGGTAATGGGCACACCCCTGCAATGCCCCCAGTTATATATAGGTAATGGGCACACCCCTGCAATGCCCCCAGTTATATATAGGTCATGGACACTCCCCTGCAATGCGCCCAGTTATATATAGGTGATGGGCACACCCCTGCAATGCCCCCAGTTATATATAGGTCATGGACACGCCCCTGCAATGCCCCCAGTTATATATAGGTCATGGACACTCCCCTGCAATGCCCCCAGTTATATATAGGTAATGGCCACG